CTGCTTTCCATGACCGCCAGGGAATCTGAGGGGAATACTTTACATCTGAAACATGTTTTCCTTTGGGATTCTACCATTAGAATAACAGGTCTGATCAGTAGCCCATTATGAAATGGAACTTCCACATGGAAGAGAAAGGAGAGAAGGAAGAAAATACCTCAAAGTCAAACATATAATAATAAAAATACAAAACTGAATTTTATATGCATATTAAATGTATGCTATAGTTTTTAGGATGCCATTATATTCTCATTAGAAATCCCAATATCCTATGTTCTTTTAATATCAAGAGCATGAAAAACATTGAAGGGTGTGAGGTAGGAACTACTTAACTTGGATGATTAGAAGACAATGATAATGTGGCCAATGTCATGGAATTAGTTGTTTTGTGCGAGAGTTCACTGTACCGGGAGTCTCAGAGAGATTACCCAAAATTTCTGTCAATGTTTCTAAGAAAGATCATGAGATAAAGTACACATCAGTTCTCATTTCTTGTATTCCTTTCAAATAAGAATTCAAAACATAAATGTTACTACTGGTGGATCTGTGACACCATCCTTTATTCAAAGATATGAAAAATCTGCTTCATGGAAAGCACTCTTTTAGATATTTGAGTTACAATGGTAAATAAAGCAGAAATTCTTGTCCTAGTGAGGGAGACACATAGCAAACAAGATAAATAAAGTATATGGTATAATAATAAATTAATCTGAATGGGGATAGGAATATGTGTTGGGGAAGGGATAGAATTCTAGATAGGATGGGAAGAGAAGTATGAGGTGAGGAGGAGTATCTTTTAGTAAAAATCTGAAATAACTGAGGAACTAGCAATGTGTATATTTGTGGGAAAGGTATTGCAGTAATGCCAAATGCACAAAGTCACTAAGATAAAAGCGTATCTATACAAATAAAGGTAACACCAGGCCAGCATAAAAGAGAGAAAGAGGAAGAGGAGAACAAGAAATAAAAAGGGGGTATATTATTTAGAGGCCTAAAGACCATTGGCTTTTCCTCAGAGTGAGCTGGAAAACCATTGAGAGCTTTGAGATGAGAAGTGACAAAATCTAAATTATGATTTAGTTGGATCACTCTGGAAAATGGGTTCAAAATAGACTGAAAGTGGTCAAAGAAGACAAAGAGAGGCTATTTTAATGACTCAGATAAGAGATTTTGATAGCTTGGGTCAAGATGATGCCTGTGGCAGTAGTGAAAAGTGGTCAGATTCAGGGTATATTTTAAAAATAGCGTCAGTAGAATCTTCTGATGACTAGATGAAGGGAGTAAGAAAAATAGAGGAGTAAAGAATGATACCGGGATGATTTGCCTGCACAACTAAAATGAAGTTGGTCGAAACTGACGAAAGAAAGAAGAGGAGACAAGTTTAGGGGGAAATACCAGGAGAACAGTTTTAAACATGTAATATCTGAGATGGATTTGAAACATTCAAGTGGAGATGTCAAGTAGTTTGTTGATAAACAGGTCTGGAGTTGAGGGAAAGTATCCTTTCTGGAGATACTAATTTGCAAGATTTTTACATAGAGATAATGTTTGCAATCATTAGACTAAATGAGTTAATCTCAGAATAGAGAAGAAGTCATTGATGACCTTGGCAAGAGAAGTTTTTTCAACAGAATTATATCAATGAAAAAAAAAATCTGATTGGAATAGATTCCACAGAAAATGAGAGGAGAATCTGAGCAGACATGAGTAGGGAGACAGCTCATTCAAGAATTTTGATATAAACATAAGGAGAAAAACAAAGAAACAGGAGAGGGCAAAATGTGAGCCTCAGAAGATTGACTTTCAAAATATTTGTACATGAATGCAAATGATTGAGTAAAGAGGAGGAAACATGTAGAAGGAGAGTTAGAGAAGAATTGAGGAACTGCTGAGACACTGTCCCTTGAGCAGATGAGATGGGGTGGAATTGACTGCAAAAGTAGAAGGATTGGGCTTTGCTAAAAACAGCCACAGTAACAAGAGAGAGGGTAAACTACACCAACACTGACAAAGATGGTTGCTGGAAATTTGTGGACAATGTTTTCTGATTACCTCAGTATTTTTCAGTGAATTAGATAGCAAGTTCAGTTGGGAATGAGTGTGGAGGAAAAGTTGTTTGAGATATGCAAACATGCACTGTAATGGAAGGAGTATTGGCTTGAGGATTGAAAACTTGAATCCTGTTACTGATTATTATTAGTTTGCCCACTTTAGTGTCATTGAACCTCAAGTTGCACAACTGTGAAATAAAGCATTCATGCCAAATAATCTTGAATTCTGTTTTTGTCCACTGATTCGCTTGTAACCAATCCATCAGAATGTTTGACATAATGTCACAATCAAAGTAGCTAACATAATTACAAGAAATGAGAAGCCAATACATCACTACCCAGAAGATCAAGGAGAAAAGCATTGCAAGCCTGCAAACACAATATCACTATTCAAATGTTTACCATTATAGATGCTATTCTACAATGTTTGTGTTTTGTTTTCTATTTGCATACATTAGGAAGGACTGAAATTTTCAAAGAAGTAGTTACTGGTGAAAAATTCAGCCCTTGTTAAAACTGTGTAGTCCTATAGCTGACCAATTGGCCTGACTCAGTCATGTCCTACAAACTGAATGTGTGAATAGGAATATAATAGTCACCTATGGCCTTGATTTGAATGTACTTAGGGAGCAGTCTTAAAACTTTTCAATGGCCCAGTAGCTACCACTACCCACTATCTTGTCAGCAATATGAGGACCAATATAATTTGAGTTGCTTGCGGGGAATGACAGGGTTCTATTTCCTTGATTTTGGGTCACAGTGCTTTTGCGCAGAGAATTTTAGTGATGACAATGAGACAAGCTGCAGAACTCAACAATGAATACCTGACACTTAGCTTGAATTTTCCATTAACAAGATGTCACCTGCTGAAAACAAGATGTTGCCAGTTGAAATCTTGAATCAGCTTTTTAAGTGAAAGAAGTAAATGTTAACTCACATAAACATGAAAGAAAGTAAATTTGAATGTATATGTTGTTTATAGTATATGTTGCAAAGCCTTGACCATAGAACCCCAATAACAACTCCTGTTGTTACTACTATAACTTTCTGTCATGAAATGGGATGATCACAGGCCTGTTGTTGGGTAGAAAATGATAAAAATTCTTTATAGATTCTGTGAACATAGATTATTTTCACAGCCTCTATGTAGGAAATGCTGCTTCTCCTATGCTGAAATAGTTCAATATAACTTTTAAAATACTGTTTGTATTAGTTTTCTATTGCTGTGTAACAAATTGAGCAGCTTAACATACAATACATTTATTAGCTCGCAAGCTTCATAGATCAGATACGTAAACAGAGTTGAACAGGGTCCTCTGCCCAGCATTTCACAAGACTGAAATCCAGTTGTCATCCAGGCTCTGTGCCTTTCTAGAGTTTTGGGCCATCTTCCAAGATTATGTATTGCTGGCAGAATTCACTTTTTCTTGCTGGTTGTCAGTAAGGGACCACTCTCATCTTCTAGAGGCCCTCGCAATTCTTTGCAATGCAGCATCCCTTTCAAAGGCCCTCTCATAGCACAGCACTTCAAGAGTAAAAGGAGACTCCCTCCTTACCTGCAAAGACAGAGTCTTGTATAACCAGAAAGCCTAACATAATCACAGGAGTGACGTCTTACCACCTTTCCATATTCTATTGGCTAGAAGCAAGTCAGAGATTCTGTCCCCACTCAGAAAGAAGGGATTCTACAAGGGTTTGACTTGTTGGGATCATCTTGGAATTCTCCCTACCACAGTGGTACAAGGAGTATTTATTGAGATAATGTATCTATACATTCAGTACTTGGTTTATGAAAAGCACTTGCTAAAAGTAAACTGTTATGAGTGATATTGTCCATATAATATTTAAACACTAAGCAAATAGTCACTTTAAGGCTAAATTTAGAAAAAAAATTACAAAATTGGAAATTGAAAATTGTTGTCATACATTGCCATCAAACATTTATTAGACATTTATTTGTACATTCCTCTCAATGGATTGTGACTGTGTAGGTAAATTAGCTTACATAATGCATTGAAGCATTAGGAATTCTTCCCTCTTAAAACAGTACTTCTTAAGCATTCAGAAGTGTGAAATAAAACCAATGCAAATTCAATCTTAAATAAGTTCTTTTAGCCTATTACAAAGGCTAAGTAAGAAGGAACAGTTTTATTCTAAAGATTATTTGGTCTAAAAATATGATGTTAATACAGTCAACCAAATGAATGTCACAGATCCTTATTTTTGATAACTGTTAAAAAATTGTAAATTATCTCATGTTGAAATAGAAATGTGCTTATTTATTTCTCCTTTTTAAACAACTTTCCAGTAAAGCAAATATTTAAGTCTTTCATTTAAATTCACAGGAAAGGTATCACAATCATTTAGAAGAATGTCATGTGGCATGTTTACATTTGATATTATGCCTCAGTTCTAGTTATTACAGGTTTTCACTACTGGTAGGAGTTATATAGTAAAAGATCATTACTTTCTTTGTGTACACAAAATTAGAACTGTAGAAAAAGTAGCATCTACTTATTTTGAGTTTTAACTTTTAATTTTTGTGTGTGCATAGTGGATGTATATATGGGTTACATGAAATAGTCTAATGAAGGCATAAAATGGATAATAAGCAGAGTAAATTAGATATCCATCACCTCAAACATTTATCCTTTTTTGTGTGTTACAAACAATCCAATCATTCTCTTAGTTATTTTAAAATGTATAAGTTATTATTGACTCAGCCACCCTGTTGTGCTATCAAATACTAGATCTTATTTATTTTATCTAACTGTATTTTTGTACCCATTAACCATCTGCTATTCCCCATGCCACTAACCTTCCCAGCCTCAGTAACCACCATTCTAATCTCTATTTCCATGAGTTCCATTGTTTTTGCCTTTCAGCTCCCACAGATAAGTGAGAACATGCAAAGTTTGTCTTTATGCCTGGTTTATTTCACTTAATGTCCTCCAATCTCATCCATGTTGTTGCAAATAACGGGAACTTGTTCTTTTTATGACTAAATAGTACTCCCTTTTGTATATGTACCACATTTTCTTTGTCCGTTAACCTGTTCATAGGTGCTTAGGTTGTTTCCAAATCATGGCAATTGTAATAGTGCTGCAATAGATATGAGAGTGCAGATATCTCTTCAATATACTGACTTCCTTTGTTTTGGGTAAATATCTAGCAGTAGGATTGTTGAATCATATGGGAGCTTTTTTTTTAGTTTTCTGAACAGCCTCCAAACTATTCTCCATAGTGGTTGTACTAATTTGTATTCCCACCAACAGTGTACAAGGGGTCCCTTTTCTCCATATCCTCACCAGCAGTTGTTATTGCTTGTATTTTGGATAGGAGCCAGTTTAAATGAGGTGAGATATGTCTCATTGTAGTTTTAATTTGCAGTTCTCTGATGATCAGTGATGTTGAGCACCTTTTCATATACCCATTTGCTATTTGTATGCCTTCTTTTGAGGCATGTCTCTTCAAATATTTTGCTCATTTTTTGATCTGATTATCAGATTTCTCCTATAGAGTTGTTTGAGCACCTTATATATTCTGGTTATTAATCCTTTGTCAGATGGATACTTGGCAACTATATTCTTTCATCCTGTGGGTTGTCTTTTCACTTTGTTGATTGTCTCCTTTGCTGTGCAGAAGCTTTTTAACTTTATGTGACCCCATTTGTCCATTTTTGCTTTGGTTGCCTGTGCTTGTGCGGTATCATTCAAGAAATCTTCAGTCCAGTGTTCTGGAGAATTTCCCCAAAGTTTTCTTGTAGTAGTTTCAGTTTGAGGTGTCAGATTTCAGTCTTTAATCCATTCTGATTTGAATTTTGTATATGGCAAGAGATAAGGGTCTTGTTTCATTCTGCATATCGATATCTAGTTTTCCCGGCATCATTTATTGAAGACTGTCTTTTCCTCAGTGTATGTTCTTGGCACCTTTGTCAGAAGTGATTTCACTGTACGTGTGTGAATTTGTTTCTGGATTCTCTATTCTGCTCCATTGGTCCATCCGCCTGTTCTTATGCCAGTACCGTGCTGTTTTGGCTACTAATGCTGTTTAACATAATTTGAAGTATGGTAATATGATTTCTTCAGTTTGTTCCTTTTGCACAGAATAGCTCTGGCTATTGAAGGCATGTTCTCTGAATCAACTTTTTTTTTCAGTATCAATTGAAACAGCTCTGGCTATTCTGGGTCTTTTCTGGCTCCACATAAATTTTAGGATTTTTGTTTCTGTTTCTGTGAAGATAGGTTTGACTATTCTGGGTCTTTTCTGGTTCCACATAAAGTTTAGGATTTTTTTTCTATTTCTGTGAGGTTGTCATTGGTATGTTGATAGGATTTCATAGAGTATTTGAATTGCATTGGATAGTACAGACATTTTAATTATATTCTATGAACTTGGAATATTTTTTCTATTTTTTGTGTCCTCTAATTTCTTTCATCAATGTTTTATAGTTTTCATTGTAGAGATATTTTACTTCTTTGGTTAATTACTAGGTATTTAATTGTATTTGCATCTGTTGTAAATAGGATTACTTTCTTGAATTTTTTCTAGATTGTTCACTATTAACATATAGAAATGCTGTAGATTTTTGTATGTTGATTTTGTGACCTGCAACTTTGCCAGATTTGTTCATCAGTTCTAATAGTTTCTGGTGGAGTCTTTAGGTTTTCCCAAATATAAGATTATATTATCTGCAAACAAGAATAATTTACTTCTTTCTAATTTGAGCGCCCTCTATTTCTCTCTCATCTCGTTGCTCTAACTAAAATTTACACTACTACGTAGCATAACTGTGGTGAAAGAGAACATCTTTGTCATGTTCCATATCTTAGAGGAAGGACTTTCAGTTTTTCCTTATCAGTATCATACTAGCTTTGGATCTATTGCATACGGCTTTTATTGTATTGAGGTATGTTCCTACTATGCCCAGTTTTTTGAGGGGTCTTATTATGAAGGAATGTTAATTTTTATCAAATGTTTTTCAGCATCAATTGAAATGATCATGTGATTTTGTCCTTCATTCTGTTTACATGATGTATCACATTGATTGATTTGCATATGTTGAGCCATCCTTATTTTCCTGAGAGAGAACCCTCTTGGTCATGATAAATTATCTTTTCATGTATTGTTGAACTCAGTTTGTTAATATCTTGTTGAGGATTTTCTTCATCAATGTTTGTCGGTGATATTGGTTTGCAGTTTTCTTTCTTTCTTTCTTTCTTTCTTTCTTTCTTTCTTTCTTTCTTTCTTTCTTTCTTTCTTTCTTCTTTCTTTTGATGCATCTTTGTCAGGTTTTGGTATCAGAATAATACTGACCTCGTAGAATGACTTCGAAAGTGTCTCCAACTCATGTATTTTTCAGAATAGTTTAAGCAGAATTGATATTAGCTCTTCTTTAAATGTTTGGTAAAATTTAGCAGTGATGCCATCAGGTCCTGGGATTTTCTTTGCTGGGAGACTTTTTTTTATTATGGCTTCAATGTCACTATTTGCTTTTGGTCTGTTCAGGTTATGGATTTCTTCATGGTTCAATCTTGATAGGTTACAGGTATCTAGGAATTTATCCATTTCTTCTAGGCTTTCCAATTTATTGCCATATAATTGCTCACAGTAGCTGCTCCCTTTGAATTTCTATGGTGCTTGTTGTAATGTCTCCTTTTTTATTTCTGATTTTATTTATTTGGGTCTTTTCTCTTTTTTTCTCAGTCTGACTAAAGGTTTATCAATTTTGTTTATCTTTTCAAAACATCAACTTTTTGTTTCACTGATCTTCTATAAGTTTGCTTTATTTCAATTTCATTTATTTCTACTCTGATCTTTATTATGTCTTTTTTTTCCTACTAATATTGGATTTGGTTTGCTCTTGCTTTTCTAGTTCTTTAAGATGCATTATTAGGTTGTTTATTTGAAGTTTCTAGTGTTTTATGTAAGTTCTTATTGCTATAAACTTTCCTCATACTACTTCCTTCACTGTATCCCACAGGTTTTGGTGTGTTGTATTTCTATTATCATTTAAGAAAACTTTAAATTTTCTTCTTAATTTCTTCATTGACCAACTATTCATTTACAAGCATATTGTTTAATTCCATATATGTGTTTTATTTCAGAATTCCTCTTATTAATAATTTCTAGTTTTGTTTCATTTTGGTCAAAGAAGATACTTGATATAATTTATATTTTTATAATTTTTTAAGACTTGTTTTGTGGCCTCACATATGGTTTATTCTTGAGAATGATTCATGTGCTGAGAGAATAATTTGTATTCTGCAGCTGTTAAATGAAATATTCTGTAAATATCTATTAGGTCCATTTGTCCTATAGTGCAGATTAAATCTGATGTTTCCTTGTTGATTTTCTGTCTGAGACATCTGTCCAATGCTGAAAGTGGGGTGTTGAAGTCTTCAGCTGTTATTATATTGAGATATATCTCTCTATTTTGCTCTAATACTATTTGCTTTGTATATCGGGATGATCCAGTATTTGGTGCATATATATTTACAATTATATTCTCTCACTTAATTGACCTTTTTATCACTAAATTATGACCTTCTTTGTCTCTTTTTATAGTTTTTGCCTGAAATCCATTTTGTCTGATATAAATATAGCGACTCCTGCTCTTTTTTGGTTTCCATTTACATGAAGTATCTTTTTCCATCCCTTTATTTTCAGTCTATGTGTCTTTGCAGGTGAAGTGTGTTTCTTATAGGCAACAGACACTTTATGCTGGATCTTGTTTTTTAATCCAGTCAGACAATCTATGTCTTTTGACTGGAGAGGTTAGACCATTTACATTCAATATTATTGATAAGTACGGACTAAGTCATGTCATTTTCTTATTTGTTTTCTGGTTGTTTTGTGATCTTCTCTTCCTCACTTCTCTCCTTCATTCCTGTCTTCCTTTTAATGAGAGTGATTTTCTCTGGTGGTATGTTTTAATTTTCTGCTTTTTATTTTTATGTATTTGTTGTATGTTTTTCAATTTGAGGTTAACATGAAGTTTGAAAATATTATCATGTAACCCATTATTTTAAACTGATGCTGACTGAACACAGATTGCATTAACAAACAAACCAATAAGAAAAGAGAAAACTAATAAAAACTCCACTTTAACCTCTTTACCCCACCTGTTAACTTTTTGTTGTTTCTATTTATATCTTATTATGCTGTCTTGAAAAGCTGTTGTGGTTCTTTTTTTATCAGTTCATCTTTTAGTCTATCTACTCAAGAATGAATACTTTACACACTACAATTACAGTGCCATAATATTCTGCATTTGTCTCTATACTTACTATTATCAGTAAGTTTTGCAACTTCAAATGTTTTCTTATTGCTTGTTAATATCTTTTCTTTCATATTGAGGTACTCCTTTAGCATTTCTTGTAGGACAAGTCTGGTGTTGATGGAATCTCTCAGCTTTTGTTTAGCTTGGCAAGTCTTTAATATCTTCTTCATATTTACAGGATATTTTCACTGGGTATGCTATTCTAGGATAAAAGTTTTTTTCTTTCAGCAATTTAAATATGTCATGTCACTCTCTCCTGGCTTGTAAGTTGTCCACTGAAAAGTCTGCTGCCAGACATATTGGAGCTCCATTGTATGCTGTTTGTTTCCTTTCTCTTGTGCTTTTAGGATTCTTTCTTTAGCCTTTGAGTTTGATTATTCAATGTCTTGAGGTAGTCTTATTTGGGTTAAATCTGTTTGATGTTCTATATTCTCCTTGTACATGAATATTAATGTCTTCCTCTAGGTTTGAGAACTCTTCTGTTATTATCCCTTTAAATCAACTTTCTACTCCATCTATTTCTTTACATTCTCTTTAAGTCCAATAACTCTTACTTTGTCTTATGAAGCTGTTTTCTAGATCTTGTAGGTGTGCTTCATTTAAAAAATATATTTTTTCTTCTGTCTCCTCTGATTATTTTCAAGTAAGCTGTCTTCAAGCTTACTAATTCTTTCTTCTGCTTGATCCTTCTGCTGATAAGAGACTCTGATGCATCCTTTAGTATGTCAGTTGCATTTTTCAACTCTAGAATTTCTCCTTGGTTCTTTTCAATCATTTCAATCTCCTTATGAAATATTTTTGATAGGATTCTGTATTCTTTCTTGATGTTATTTTCAATTTTATTGAGTTTTATCAAAACAGCTATTTTGAATTCTTTGTCTGTTAGGTCACATATTTCTGTCGCCATTAATGCTCCCTTAGTTGATTTGCTGAGGTCCTGTTTTCCTGGATGGCCTTAATGCTTATGGGTGTTCATTGGTACCTGGACATTGCAGAATTAATTATTTATTTCAACAGTTTTGGTATGGGCTTGTTTGTACCTCCTCTACTCACAAAGGCTTTCCAGGCATTTGAAGGGACTTGGGCATTGTGATCTGAGTTTTAGCATCTATGGCCATATCTACATTAGGGATCACCCCAAGCTCAGTAAAATATGGCTCTTACAGACTCATAGAAGTACCACATTGGTGGTCTTGAAAAAATTAAAAAAAAAAATTCTCAGTAATTAAGTAAACGCTTGTTCTCTTTCCTTACTTTCTCCCAAACTAATGGAATCTCTCTCTGTGCTGAGCTTCATGGAGCTGGAGAAACTATGACAATAAGCATTTCTGTGGCCACCACCACTGGGACCACATCAGGTCAGACCTGAAGCCAGCACAGCACTGGGTTTTGTCCAAGACCTGGAGCAAGCACAACCTTGCTACAACCTATGTTTGCTCAAAGCTTTAGGGCTCCAGAATCAGCAGGTGGCAAAACCAATCAAGCTACCAAGCTTATGTCCTTCCCTTCAGAGCAGTGAGTTCTCATGGCCTTGGGTGGGTCCAGAGATGCTGTGTGGGAGCCAGAGCATAGAGTTGGAAACCTTAGAAATCTACCTGGTGCTCTATTCTCTGCAACTGAGCTGGCATGCAAGCCACAAGACAAATTCCTTCTGCCTCTTTTCTCCCCTTTTAATAAGCAGATGATTCTCTCCCTGTGGCCGCCAATGCATCAGGCCCATAACAAGTACTATCCGGCTACTGCCAATCTTCACTCAAGGCCCAAGGGTACTTTAGCCAGACTGTGATGAGTGCTGCCAGGTCTGTGACTCTCCTTTCAGAACTGTGGTCTCCTCTCTGGTCCAGGGAAGATCCAGAAATGCCATCCAAGTGCTACAGCCTAGAATTGGGAACTCCAATTGGCCCCTTGATTGTCAACTCTACTGTGGCCAAGATGCTATCTAAGCTCTGAGACAAAGTCCCTTTTGCTCTTCCCTCTCCTTTTCTCAAGCAGAAGGAATTTCTTTCCATAGCCACCACAGCTGGAAATATGTTGGATCACACCTGATACCAGTTTATCTCTAAATCTCACCCAAGGCCTGCAAAGAATACTGCCTGGGTATCACTGCTCATTATTCAGGGTCCAAGGGCTCTTTGGTCAGCAGGTGATGAATCCTGTCAGTGTGAGGTCATTCCCTTCAAGGCAACGGGTTCCTTTCTAACCCAAGAATTATTATCTGTGAGCTAGGGTCTGGAATAGGGGCCTCAGGACTCTGGTGGATGCTCTATCCTAC